TACCACAAGGCTCTGTTTTGGGGCCCATTCTTTTTTCTCTCTACGTCAATGATTTTCCTTCCGTTTTATGTCAGTCTGAAGCACTCATGTATGCTGATGATACGGCATTAGTTTTTGTCGGGGACACAATAAGTGAACTACAAGGTAAAATAAAGGAAGAATTAACACGGGTCTTAACATGGTTCACTAGTAACCACCTCACACTTAACATAAAAAAAAACTAAGTACACTCTGTTTCAGTCTAGGAGAAAACAAACAAATTCTGAAGAACTAGCTATATACTTAGATAGCGTGCAGTTGCTGCATGTTTCCTGTTACAAATAATTAGGCGTCTTGTTTGAAACCGATATGCCCATTGGAAGAATCAAAATAAAAACATAAGCACAAAACTTGCGCACGGTTGCTACACCCTAATAAAGGCTGGGGAGTTTTTTTTTATTCGCCTATACTGCGCATTCTATACTTTCTATTTGTACATAGTCACTTGAATTACTGTATAGAGTCTTGGGGCGGAACATACACCACGTATTTAGAGCCACTAGGTCGATTACAGAAAAGGGCTCTGAGACGCATTACGTATTGTGGATATACTGAACCAAGTGGTCCTCTATTTCGATCAGTTGGTGTGCTGCCACTAGACCTCCTATACAACTTAAAGATAGCTGAAACAGTCTTTAAAATAATAAAAACTAACGACCCACTCCCATAACATCTATTTAAATTACCATTACGGAATACGAGGGCTGCAACAAATAATATGTTTAATTTGCCACCTTGTAGAAATGTCTATGGAGAAAGACTTATTGAATTCAACGGAGGGAGCCCTAGTATGGAATGATATCCCTACCGGCATCAAATGTAAACCCAATATATTGCCATCCTCAAAGAAGTATTTAATTAATTTGCAAGCCAATGAATAAGTTAAATATCATGTCCTGTCTATTTTTTTTCAATTAGTATGTATATTGTTTTGTGTATATTTTGATATGTGCGTACATTTCTTTTGTTTGCCTGCCGCATTGTAAAGCTTATTTCTAATGTTGGACCCGCGACTAGCCTCTACGGCTATGGGTCCAAGCAACGATTGTGTATTAAAAAAGAATAACAAAGGAAAATAAAGAAAAGAAAGAAAGAAAGAAAGGACGAACTCTCCCCCTCACTCGGACCTTCTTTGATATGTCCCAGATGTCGTTTTTGCCCCCGAAGATTAGCCTATTACTTGAAATTCATACAAAAGCAGCACTCTTCATTGTCCAGTTCGTGGCTTCGACAGTACTGCGCGGATAGAGTGTAGTCAGTGCCTTCCTCAGACGCGCGCTGATTGGTTTGAGTGGGTCATAGCCATTACTCTGCCAAGCTACGCTGGGACTAAGTATATGCCCCTTTTGGGATCCGGCCAACTCGACGAAAGCCAACTCGTCAACAGCCAACTCGTCGACTGCCAATTCGTCAAATAGGCAAATTCGTGATAGGGCAAATTGTCGGGGGGAAACTTGTCGAAAGGCGCAACCTCTCGAAGGGCGATTCGTCGAATGGGTTGAATGACGGTGAGAGATAAATGTTCGTGGTTCCTTGCTATTTTTTCTTACCTGAATTTATATTTGTGTTTGAACTAAGGGCATCGCCCTGTTGGGTTATAATACTAAAAGAAAAAAAAATATACTAGAAGGCAAAGAAAAGCCTTGAGACAAGCTTAAAAATTTGACATCTCGTGATCGTCCCTTTGTTCCTTTTCTGTATTAGTTTTTGTATTAAGCCGCCGCAGACTGTCGCCGCGAAGCGGTGTGAACGTGTGGGCCGGGTATATTAACACGCGCCCCACTGATACACGCGCGACGTAGTGACCCTTCCCCACTGCACCGTGAAAGCGGCGAAAGCGGCAAGTTGGTACCTTGAGCGAAAAAGTGCACATGGGAGGTCAATTATCGTGCGGCGATTTTAGGGATAACTATGGGGCCGATTTGCTTTAAAATTTAAAGACAAAAGTGATATAAGTTGGCTTTGAAAAAGCTACGACCAGTTGGCCTCTTCGACGAGTTTTTCTTTGACGAATTGCCCTATGACGAATTTGCCTATTCGACGAATGGGCCGCCGACGAGCTGCCCGTCGACGAGTTGGCTTTCGACGAGTTGACCTAGGCCCACTCCGTTCACCCCTAAGCTAACGGAGCGAAGAAAGCTACGTGCGTACTGGACCGGGCGTAGATCTATCTTTTGCCACGTGATCACGCTCCCGCCCCTACACACGTGCAGAGAGAGAGAGGTCAGGTGATGAAATGGAGGTGGTTGATTGGTACGCTGAGCGCGTAGCTTCCACCGCACTACCAGCTTAGATGCGAACGAAGGATAGAGGTCTTGATCACGAGAGCTGAATGGGAGAAAGAAAAAGATTGTCATGGGATAACCACATTGAACACTTAGCCACAAAACTGTCACGTGTTATAGGACTAATATACCGTCACGGTTCTTCCCTGCCCGTTAACGTGAAACTATTAATATACAATGCCCTGTTTCAGTCCCATTTAAATTACTGTAGCCTCGTTTGGAGTAACACGACGTTCACAAACTTGCAGAAACTATATTTATTGCAAAAACGAATATTGAGAATTATTTGCAATGTGCCTTATGATTACCATAGTGAGGGTTTGTTTCAAAAGTTCAGAATTCTAAAAATATTTAACCTCTATGACTATAGATTATCATCAGCTTAAAACTCGAGAACAAAAAAAAATGCGCGTTTCTTGTCAGACTTATCCGAGTTAGTGCCAAACGATCACGTCTATTTAACCCGACACATGGAATATTGGAAGGTTACCGGCTGTAAGACAAACTATGGTACACAAACTCTACGTTACACTATTCCTAAATTGCTCAACTACCTCGCCAGCAACGAAATTTGTTTAGACTCCGTATCAACTAAAGATTTGCGTTCATTCTATTTGCGCTTGTGATTCTTCACCTATGCCTACTATGTTACCTATTATCTACTTGTTTGTTTGAACTCTATAATATTATTTTTAGGGCTACAACAGTGTCTACTCTGTAGTGTTTATAATAATTCTAATGAAGTTTTTTGTCTTTCTTATGTATATGCGTGTGTGCGCGCTTCTTTTTTTTTTTCTTCTTCTTTTTCTTGTGCTGCTGCGCCTGTCACCGTATGGGGCTTCGGGCTCGTCAAGCCTCCTTTGGAGGCTTTTTCCCTTCTGCCCCTCCAAGTCATTTGGAAAATAAAGTTATTATTATTATATTATTATTATTTCAAACACAAGCTCACTCTATTTATTTATTTATTTATTTCATAATACTATCAGTCCCCCAGCAGGGACTATGATAGGAGTGAGTACAAAAACAGTACACAATGTAATACACATGCACAATACTGGTGCTATGATCCTTGGAGACGGCACATTCCTAACGAAATCAATTTACAGCGACTCTCCAAACTCGCATAATGCGAGTTTGGAGAGGCCTCAATACATTATTTAAAAAAAAAGCGATAGCTCCAAATTGTTGAGAAGACATCGAATAATAATTTTGAGGAGTCAGCAAGAACGTGCCGTTTATTAACTTCCCTCGCCATCTTATACAACATCACCTAGCGCTACAGAGAATTTCGGCATATCGTAGAAGACATAGTCAATAGCCGGAGCAAGGTACAGCAGAAGGCTGCGAACTGATAGGTCCTGGGTTTGGTTGCTTGTGGGCGATGGCTATATATTTATTTGATTCTCAGTGAGTGTGTACGTGCCTAATGTTTATGTTCTCATTGTATACCATACCCGGTTGAGCTAACGCACCTTGCTATGAGGAATGCAAGGACGAACGGACGAACACTCGAGTGTTCAGTGGGACATTGGTGGCCGAGTATGTTCGCGCATAGCAGCTCGGAGCACGTGGACCCAAAGCTCAGCGCTCCAGAACCCAGGGATCCTGTGCTCAATCTCCGCCCCAGCTTGTTTCGATCTTGATGAACATCGTGCCGGCGTGCGCTCATAAATTACTACTGCGTGATGCAAGTTAAAGACCACAAGCTAGCAGTCGTACTGCACTGTCTAAATGTCTCATCTACAACATAAAACCAGCGTCGCCATACCTCAAAGCCAGACCGACCTTACGATATTTAAACAAGAACGTCAAATTTGCTTTCTGCTTTTAATACAAAGTGTGTTTTATGTGTCGTTATCTACGCGAAAAATTGTCCTGAAGGAGCGACACGCTGGGAACGCTATTGTCGAGCGGCGGAATGCGCCAGCTTGTTGTGCAAGTGTTGCCGACACTGCTGAGGTGGGGTATTTTCATCACTCCGTCAAGTATCATAGGGTAATAGTGACTGGATAATCGGTGAAAGCATGCACACGCGGACCGCTCGTGTGCAAGCATTAACGAAAACAAAAGAGCACAAAGGAACCGTTGAATAACGAGGTATCCCAAAATCCAGAAAGAACGCCCATCCCCTAGGCAAAACCAAAATGGAAAAAAAACGAGGTGGAAGCATTTTTAACAATATTAGTTAGTGAGAATCGGGATTGACCAATACCGTATAAAAGACGAGGCTTGGGCATGACGCCATTCTTAGGGGATCCAACCCGCTACAAGCGGCTAATATGCTGAAGCTCAATGACAGTCGCCGCAAAACGGCAGACACGCCTGTCCGTAAGTCCGGAAGCAGCCGAAGCTACGAGTTTGGACCAATCAAACAGCGTGAAAAGTGCAAGTCACTGGGCCTTTCTTGTGCAAGCTTGGTTCAGCAATGATAGAAGACGTACAGAAACTCGACGAACATGATCTTGGTGCGCTTTTGATGTAGTTTGTTTGGCCCCATCGTCGCGCTCATTGTTAGATGCTCCAAGACGTGCTGGTAACGATGCTGACGCAAAGTGGATGCCATTTCGGGAGGAACTGCGCAGGCTTTGTCTTCTATGCGCTGTCGGATTGATAGAGCGAGACAACTGTCTTGCGACGCGAGGAAATCCGGTTGTGCTGTAAGTGGTCGCTGCCGATGCTGCCGAGGCCAGGTCTTGCCCTCATTCCGTCAAGTGCCAGAGGTGAACAGTCGCGGAATCGGTGTAAGGACGTGTGCTTGGGCCTTGCGAATCAATGCGACGGAGCTTTATACCTTTCCCTGCTGTTAACGAAACGTTAAAAAAAAAAAACACGAAACAGTCATTAAACTACTTTGCTCTTGTTCTTGTTGTTTTATTCAAAGTGGGCTCGAGCTCTGGCACACGGCGTGAACCAGTAAAATCTAGAAGGCAAGGCCTGCACCATGTCCTCTAGATGTCTTTGAGTGGTGTGTCACGGAATACCACGACGTCACGTGACGTCAAGTTCTTGGTAAAATCAGCGGAGAAATTACATGTAACCTAAGGTCACGTGACGATAATTTGTTTTAGCGAAGAATAATTGCTCGACGTCCGGGGTCGGAAAGCCAAGCTTCCTGCTAAATCTAGAGAAAAAATGAAAGCCGTTCACAACTCCCTATAACGCCGGATTAGAGCGCAGCTCTTGAGCAGGAGGAGGGGAAGGGTACTGGAGGGGAAGGCATATCCTTCCTCTCTCCTCCTCACCTCCTCATCCTGTCTGCTACTCCTCCTCCGAGCGGCGTCGCCGTCGTCGTCTCACGAGGGTCACGTGGCCTCACAGAGGTCACGTGGCGTCACCGAGGTCACGTGACCTAACGGGTGTCACGTGATGATGACGATGACGTCATCAGTGACGTCACTGATGACGTCATCAGTGACGATGCCGATGACATCATCAGTGACAATGACGTTGACGATACGGATGCCGATGACGTCATCAGTGACGTCACTGATGACGTGATCAGTGATGATGACAATGCGGATGACGATGACGTCATCAGTGAAGTCACTGATGATGTCACCGGTGACGATGACGATGCTGATGCCGATGACGTTATCAGTGACGTCATTGATGACGTCATCAGTGACGATGACGCCATTTATGACGTCACTGATGACGTCATCAGTGACATCACGCGTCCCATAATGCACCGCGCGGTTACGCCGACGGCGACGCCGACGCCACTCAAGTCGGAAACGGGCGCCCAAGAGCTGCGCTCTAAAACAAGCATGACGTGAGACAAAGTCACCGGACCTCACGGTGCTACTTCGTGGTGGTACGCGATACCATGTCGTCGCGTGACATCGGGTTACGTGACACCAATTTCCCGGCTAAATTTAGTAGGGAAATCTACGAACGGAGGGACAATGTTCCGTTATTGGGGGTTCCGTCCAAAGGCATTCCATTTCTTAAAAAGCACTTGGAACGCCGTACTTTATTCGAAATAAACTGTAATTAATGACTTGGCGCGCATTCAGCCGCCCTCGCACTGCTCATAAACCATGCAAAAGACGTTCGCTGCAGACATGGGATGGCAAAATTACGTGCGCATCAAGCATCTTGGAAGCATAGTTGCTTCACATATGTGCATGCTTCCAGTATGCCTGCAGACAGTCCTTCTATGACCCATGTGATTGTCATACAAAAGGAAGACCCCAGATGGTGACTGCAAACTGTCTTCTTTACGATGCATTAGCGTTGGAACGGCGGTTTTACAGTCAGCGACAGGCTAAAAATTCAGCAGATGCTCCGCCCTCAGCACGGGTTTGATGCCTTCCGCCGGCTGGCCTTGGCTAAGCGTGCGACAATTGCTATCAAAGGCAGAAGACTCGCACTGGAGGCAGAGCATTTCCTTAGTTATTAACTCGTCACCGAGAATAGTTGGGAGCAATCATAAAAGGGTACATACCGAAAAGCTCCCTTAGAACTTCCTCCGGCATACTTTTGGGAAAACCTGACAATAAATGAGGGTAAGTGACGGTGGTTCGTCGTGAGGGCGTGCTTATGCGACACGCATTTATTTAGTCGAGCCCATAAAATAAAATTAAGACAACTCTTCGAACCACCTCAACTGTCCGTCGGCTGCGACAAGATATGATCAGATAAATTTATTCGCTGGAATGACTTTCAATATAAAAAAAAGAACTCACGGTGCGCTCTCATTGTACGACAAATAGCATGTCGTACAATACGAGGTGTGATCAAAAAGTTCCGGGACTGATTTGGTAGCGTAAAAAGAGAGGGAAGCACAGCGGTGCCCGCGCGCAGCAGTCAAGGCAGCGACTGCGTCACTATGCCAAAGGCCGTCGCTCTGTGATCATTTGAAACTGCGCTACACGAGTTTGTTTGACCACATGCACGAGCATGTAATGGCGGTCTCGCCATAGACTGCAAGTCAAAGCGAGAGGGAACGTAGATTTTACGTGAAACTCGACAGATGTACAAAAAATAGACCTTTGAAATTATTCAGAATGTCAAAAAGCAGTTAGGTGTGCGAGGTGTTTTGAGCGGCACTCGGGGGGCCTCGTGAGCGGCAGAAACGTCATTCAAGTCAATGAGAGGTTGAATAAGGTCGCTCTACCGATCTTCGTCTTCCAGCGATATTCTGCTGTTCGTGAAGAGTGAGTCGCTAATTAAAAATCTTGCGAAGTTCACTGCCTTTTGCCGCAAGCCCGCTGAATCAGTCCAAGGGTCGCTATTTTACAATTGCCAAGTTTGACGCAGAATTGAACTTCGCTCTCGCTCTGGTTTGCAGTTTATGGTGAAATCATCATTGGGTGCCCGTAAACGCAGTCACAAAACCTCGTGTAGCGCAGCTCCCAATGTTCGCAGAGTGACGTCCTTTGGTGTGTCAAGATACAAAGGTCCCTTCCTTCAAGAGCTGCGCCCGCATCACTGTGCTGCATCCTCTTTTTACTCTACAAATTCAGTCTCGAAACGTTTTGATCACACCTCGTATATGCCATTCAAGGGTTTCAGTAACTCAGTTCCTATAGAGAAAACCATCACACAAATTAAGCCACAATTATCGTGGATTTTCTTCACTGCAACTGTTCATTAGAAATTAATTCTGTACCAGGTATCAACGTTTTTTTTTTTGTTTTTTTAGAATATTGATGACAATATAAATGTTATCTGTTTTGCCATCACCCAGCTGATGGCGGACGCAATATAAGTATTAAAAAAATCCACTAAAGACAAAAAAATGAGCACTCCCATATGAATTCAAAGTAGAGTCGACACCTTATCGAACTTTAACGTAAACGTATCTATCTCGCACTTATGAATCTGGCGCTTTACGCGGAGGACCCAACGCCAATGTCTGCTCGGAAAGTGACACACTCATGAGTGTCTCTCTTTCATAGCAGAGATTGCCGTTGGGCCCTCCTCGCGAAGCGGCAGATTTATAAGTGCGAGATACATAAGTAAACTACTGTAGAAATAAATGTCACGCGTGTAACTACTAATCACCTGACATCATTACTTCATGGGATGAGTTTTCTGGAATAATTTCTCTAGAATTCCTGTGAAAACTTAATTGAATTCATATTAAATTTTTATGAAAACATTATAAAATTTATGTAGGACGTCTGACTTCTAAGAAGTTTTATCAAATTTTACATGACATCTTGACGTCACGTGACATTCTGATGACATGGTACTCTATGACGTCACGCTGACGTGACTTTGGGACTTCAATGTGTCAACCGGCACATGTTGCAGTGTTTTATGAACTCAACGTTCATTGTGGAAAAAGAAACCTTAAATAATAGGGCCTCACCTTTGAAAGTACTATCATCATAGACGATGGTCCACAGAGCGTAGGAGAAGTTTGGTGACAGCAGTGACTTCATCAAGGTGACGTACCTGTGTGATAAGGTAAAATTTTATTTTCAAACTAATTTTAAACAATTCATTTATCGATAGTTTATGCATATTGTTGTATTCATTGGGGCGTTCTAAATTTGGTGACGCCCTTCACTGTAATATACCGAAAAATAGCCTACCAGAAATCGAGTGAAAATAGGGTAAAATTTGGGAATGGGCTAACTTTCGGTGTGTGATAAAAGATCGGTGAAAAAAAATACTATTTTGGGGTTGTGCCACCTGCAAAACTTGCTATCGCAGCGAGGGGCGATGTACCAAAGACGCCTGAACATTGCCCCCCCCAGTCAGCAATGTTCACGTACCTCCTGCCTTAGCTAACTACGTTTCCCCCAAGAATTCCATGGGCCTGCGTACTGCGATTAATCGGAATGGGCTATCTTTTCACGTTAGAGCAGAGCTCTTATGGCGCATTCACACTGGAAGCGGATCCGCGTTCCCAAAGCAGTTGCGAACCCGGTTGTATAAAGATCCAGTACAATTCCACGCGCATCTGACATCATCAAATGCGCGTGAAATAGTACTGAATATTTATACACCCGCGTTCGCAATCGATTTGCGAACACGGATCCACTTCCAGTGTCAATGCGCCATTAGGTGCCCGTTTTCGGTTTGAGCAGCGTCGGCGTAACCGTAACGCGTCGGCGTAAGCGTAACGCGGCGGCGTAACCGTAGCGCGTCGGCAAAACGCGTCGGCGTCGCCGTTGGCGTAATTGCGTGGTGCATTATGGAAACGTACCTTAATGCACCGAGGTAACGCGCGCGTTGCATTATGGAAAGTTTCCCATAATGCACCGCGCGGGAGGAAGGAGTGGGAGGGGGTAGGAGAAGGGAGAGGAAGAGGGGGCGGGGAGGAAGGAGGAGGAGGGGAGGAGGAGAAAGAGAAAGGAAGAGGGGGAAGAGGGAGGAGGAGGAGGGAGGAGGAAAAGGAGGGAGGAGGAGAAAAGTGGAAGGAGGCGAGGAGCACGGGAGGAGTAGATGAGGAGGGGGGAGGAGAGGGCACGGATGAGGAGGAAGGGCATACCGTCCTCTCCGTACTCTCCCCTCCTCCTCAAAAGCTGCGCTCTAATTCGGCATTACAGGGAGTTGTAAACGGCTTTCATGTTTTTGGGGAAAAAAGAAACAGCAGCAAATAATTCCAGAAGTAAGAGTGGGCGATTTTTCGGTGTTAAGGCATCTCTCGGGATATTGTGGTAGTTCAAACTTCAGTAGAATTGGCTAAGCTGCTAAGCGCATGTACGGTACGTTGAAATAGGTTGGTGCGACAATCGCGTAGGCGACAGCAGTCCCGCGGTTACAGTCTACAGAGCGGAGCGTTCGCGGGAAGCACGCTGCCTTGCGCTCCAGCGCTGAAAAAAGGAAGAGGCAAACAAAAATTAAATAAATTCAGATTTCCAGAGCGCAGCTCATAAGCGCCCGTTTCCGGCCTGAGCGGCGTCGGCGTCGCCGTCGCCATCGGCATCGGCGTAATCGCGACCCCCCCCCTCCTCCCCCTCCTCCCCCCCCGACGCCCTCGGGTTCCTTCGGGAGGACCTAGGGTACCTTCGGGAGGACCTAGGGTACCTTCGGTGACCTCGGGAGGACAAAGGGCTCCTTTGGGAGGACCTCGGGTACCTTCGGTAGCCTAGGGGAGAGGGGGGGGGGGGGGGTCACGTGACGCCCCAAGGTTACGTGACCCCCCCCCCCCCGAGGTCACATGACCCCCCCTCCTCCAAGTCAAGTAACCCCCCCCCCCCCCCCCCCCCCCCAAGGAAGCTTGGCCGGCTTCGAACCAGAGACCTTCCATGCAATAGCCCGACGCGGTACCTGTCCGCCAAAATTAAATTGCTAATTAATTAAATAATTAATTTATTAATTAGGAGGGGAAGGAGGGAAGAGGAGGATGAGATGAGGGGAGGAGGTTGAGGGATGAGGGCAGGAGAGGGACGGGGGAGGAGGAGGAGGAGAGGAGATTGAAGGATGAGGGGAGGAGGAGGGAGGAGGGGTATACCCTCCCCTCAGTACCCTTTCCTCCTCCTCCTCAAGAGCTCCGCTCTAATTCGGCGTTACAGGGAGTTGTAAACGGCTTTCACTTTTTTTGTCACTCTATTGACGCATTATTCAATCTTAAATAGGAACGCGATTCATTTTTATTATAATTCTCGCTTTTCTTGTTTTATTTATAACCAACAAATATTTCATTAGACGGAGTTCACATTCGTGGCGCTGCGAACACCTTACAGACGGTTTCATAGGGATAGTGACACAGGACACAGAAAGCACTAGGCCGCTCTAAGCCACAAACGAGCGATCGCCTCACATCCCTCCCCCATCGTAGTAATGGAGCCTGCTATGCGTCGCTCAATGGTGTTGTATATGGGAGTTTGGTGGCCGAGTATCTTAGTGCAACGCAGCTTGGACCACGTGGAGTGAAAGCTCGAGCTGCAGAACCCGGTGATTCCGGGTTTTATCCCCACCTCCGCCCGTCTATAGAGCGTGCGGTCGCGTATTGCAACTGCGTGATGCACGTTAAAGACCCCAACCTGGCAGTGGTAATACACTGGCTAAAAATGTATTCACACCGGAGACACCTTATACCCATTGATACTGTCATAGCCTCCTCTATACGGAGAAAGCCTGGCACATCGACGATGGAGACATAGGGCGCGCGGCCGCAGGAAAAAGGAGAGGAGGAGCGCGCCGAACGGTGACCAATATGGTAGCGCAGAGGAGAAAGGGCAGACCTAGACAGCGAGCGCTTGGGTCATGAGTGGCCGCTCCCCGAACCACGCTTGTTTTTGTTTTCTTCACCGTCGTTTTCGTACTCCGGGAGAAACGGGCGCGGCGATTCGAAAGGGGGCAGGGAGAAACGGGAAAGGGTGGACGTTGAGTTTCTCCTCTCCACGATAGCGACAAGAAAAGAGAGAGAGAAAAAAAAAGATTGTTTCTGCGTTTGGCCGCTCGCTCTTTTGTGGCGCTAGCAGGCAAGGTTCTCTCCGCTCCCGTTTCTCCGCCCCTCCTTTCCCATTTACGGCGGCCGTCTTTTCACGCGACGCGCCAGGCTTTCTCCGTATAGAGGAGGCTATGATACTGTCTAACTTCAGGCTGTCTAAACAAACCAACAGCACAAATAATTACTTTAAAAATATTATTTATTTAATATGCTATTGTTCTACGCTTTTCCGATCTTCGACAAAAACACTGTCGACTTGCCTGCCTCTGAGCTCCACGTCGATTGAGCTCAGTGCTCCTCTGTCCCACACAATGTCCATTGCTCCGACGCATGACCTGCAAAATAAGGCAAAAAGTATTTAAAAGTTACGTCAAACAATAGAAAACAAAGCTGTAGCGTCGTCACGATAGCTCCCTTCCGATGTGATACTCGGACGCTGGTACAGTCTATCGAATGTCAATATCGTGGAGGCTTCTGACAACAGTGTTGGCAAACCGTAGCACGTCCATGGTGCACGCAGTCAGTCACACCCTTGCCCGGCTGTTAATAAAGGCCTCTGTGGCTACCTTCCGAATACAAGAAAAGAAAAGCAGCTGTTGAGAAGGCGCCTCTCTGCGCCTCTAGCAGAGCCGAAACTCTTCAGACCAGTTCAGACCCCAGACCATCTCGGATTCCAGGTTGCGGATACAGGAAGCCGCAGTGTTTGCGATTTCCACTTGGGGTTCAGTTTGGGTGGTTTTGAGAACCCACGCCATCATACGGAAGGTGACCACATATATTTTCTTCCATGCATATATTTTCTTCCACAGACGACCAAACATCGCAAGGTGAATGGGTGGTAAAAAAAATGTATTTACATGCTCACAAATTCAGCGGCACTAATTAGTCCCACCTACTAACTTTACATGCTACTTAGTGAAACACAGTTGTGAATCGCATGCAGACCTTGTTGCCACTCACACTAAAAAAGCCGAGAGTGCCGATGCCTGAGGTACTCCCATTCGCCTAGGGTCCAAAGTTCATTTTTCAGGTGGTCGGGCACCTTTTCTCGTCGCGTTCGCAGCTGTGAAAACATTGTCCTAAAACCCTAAAACATTGACGTTGACAGCGGCACTATTTCTAAACCCCCGCAAACCTCGGCGGGCTAGGACTCCTACGAGCTTGGTGAAGCGACTGCGCACACGTGCTTGGTCAGCGGAAGCGGGTCCCAGACACCCGTGACACCAGTGCCCAAAACGTGCGCGCGATTACACATATCTCTAATAAATGCTTATTTGTCAAGGGGGGGGGGGGGGGGGGGACACACTGGGGTCAACCGTCAGTCGCGATGACTCCCAAGCGTGTTAACCTGTCTTTGGTGGAACATTACGTCGGGCAACACTTCCTGTACCCGGCGTTGCATTTCAACAATCTTGGCGTAGTACGGCGAAGGGGTCTCTGCCACGGGATACAAAGTTTCTAATCACCGAGGAAAAAGGACCCGGCGTAAAAGCCCCAGCCGGTACGAAGCTAGGACGCGCCCTGAATACCCTACATCATCCAGCAGCTTTAACACACATTTCAAGGCAAGCGATCTTGCGAGAGTTTCTACACACGGTATGCTCCAACCACCAATATCGCGGGGTAGGCGCAGAGCACGTCCGGCGACAAGTTCGGTTGCTGGTCCCAAAAAAACGCAGACGTGAGGAACGCAATTCTACGCGTCATTGCCTGTGGTGGAACCGAAAGTTTTGCCGCGTAGTTTTTCACAAATGAACTTTTTTATTAAGACGATTTGCCGCCGAAAGAGAGATCACTCTCGGGCAAGTTTTACCTGTTGCCTTGGATGCTCAGACAATTTCTCCTGGGTAGGAGGCGCTACGCCATCTGTCTTAAAGATGACTCCCAGTGCTCGCACCACTCGAACAATGAAAGGAAATGACGCTAAGAAATGCACCAGGGAATTGGCGAAACTGAGGCGCCTGGCATTTCTCTTGGTTGTGTTGAGTTCCGGAGTGTGCTGCGTAGCCAGCGAGGGTACGTTTGACCCGTAAAAAGATTGCAGGGTCCCGTAGAAACAAGGACAGGTAAAAGGCATAAGCGGAGACGGTTGTTGTACCCAGACCAGGAAGCGGGAAACCGCGAACACTTTTCGTTTTCGTGGATCCTTTGTACCGCGCCGCGCATCGTGCCGTTCTGCCCAAGTTTCTTTTTTTAAATAAATAGAAAGTGGTATTTTTGCGCTTCTAGACCATATGCAAAAGTCTTGCCCGCTATCATCATCATGCCATTTGCAGCCGCCACATTGTCTTTTTTTTTTAATCTTCCAGCTGTGGACGAAACGCATCTGCGTCTAACTCGGTGTTCATATTATTGGAACTTTTTTTGTGCACTCAATAGGCAGCTGTTTTGTTTTGGTGAAAAAAAGAAATGAATGACGGCCGCAAATGTTTTGAAAAGAAATTGTCAGCAACGAGGTGTCAAGACTCGTCACTCAAGAAGTCAAGGCCAGTGAACAGTAGTTATCGAAGACTTTTGTGAAGGGTTCGTACTGGACTTGCATCACGTGATCATAGTTTAGATCTACAACTCCAACTTTGCCCAGACCGTTATTCCTTGGGCGAAAATATCGGTCCGGGAACCGCCAATATGGCGGAAAGTTTATAATTGATCATAATTGCTCTAGATGGCGCTTTTTCCTTTTGCATATGGTTCCCTGTGTCAGAAAACGATGTTTATTGATTCGATTAGAGAGCGGATTACATGATGCTACGCTGGCTACGCCATGGCTGGATCTCTGCGTCTGTGGCTTTAGCTCGGCTTGGCTTTCTCGACAGTCCAGTGTCTTTTGCTTGGCTTGGCGTCCTTGACATCCCCCTTTTTTTCTTTAGAGATCAAGCCTGACGACTGGTTTGATTATGCTACCTGATTTGGTAACGGTGGGTGAGCCTGCCGGGTTCTCTCGCTGGGGGCTGGGGCACACTCGGCTGTCGGTCACAGGCTGTGGCGCATATGGCTCGATGCTGGTAGTATGAGTTTTTACAACATAGCGTATCTCAGCCTTAGTCGGACGAACAAAGGACGTATTGCGACGGTACTGTCCCTTTGGCGTCTGTACTATCACAGACCGAGGTTTTTCCGAAAGACGTACGACTGTTCCAGGAACCCAACTCCTGTTTTCTTCCCAAACTTTGACTTTATCGCTGGGGATATGGCAGGGGCTCGTTCGGAGTGCTGGTCAGCATAAGTCTTCTGCTGGTTGCGCCCGTGACGCAGCTTGTCCGGCACGCTTTGGATTATTTCGGGCTTTAGTAGCTTGTTGTCTGTGGGAACTGGAGTTCTTGTCCTCCTGCTGTACAGTCTCTGTGCAGGTGAACCCAGTTCTTCACTCCTTGGCGTGTTTCTGAAACTGAGGAGGGCCATTTGTATGTCGCTTCCATCCAGAGAGCATTTTCGGAGAATCCCTTTTGCAGTCTGAACGGCTCGTTCAGCAAGACCGTTTGACTGCGCATACCTCGGACTTGAAGTCACGTGTTGGAAGCCCCAGTCTCTGCTAAAGTTCTTGAATTCTTGTGCTGCGTAGCAGGGACCGTTGTCTGTTTCAATCACTTTGGGGACGCCATGAGTTGCTAGCCACTCTTTCATGACGTTTACAACTTCTTTTGACGATTCTCCTGAGAGCTTCTTGAAGTCTAGGTATCCAGTGTAGCTGTCGACAATGACAACGTAGAACTTTCCTCCGAAGTTGAAGAGATCTGATGCTACTTTTTCCCACGGAAGGTCCGGTATTTCTTTGAGATGAAGTGGCTCTCTCGCTGGTTTGTTGTCAGTTGCTTGGCATGTGTGCACTCTCTTCACGAGGTTGAGGAGCTCGCATGCGTTCTGACCCAGATCTGGTGTCACGTCGGAGTTCACGACGAGGAATTTCAGTTTCACCGGCTGATCACGGACAGTGCATGTTTCTCTCACCTCACCGATCACTTGCATCTTGTGATTGCTGTATGTTGCGATTCTTTTGACTGGCGAAGGAAACACTTGTAGTCTCATGGCTTGGACATTCTTGTTTGGGAGGACGTTGCATTGCGCTCCTGTGTCCAGTTTCATGACAACTTTAGTTCCACACTTGAACTGGATTTCTTCTTGCCACACTGTCTTGCTTATCTTGGTTCTCAGCTCCGACACATACATTTCTTCTTCAGGGTCTTCGCGGTTGTCGATGGCATGGACCTTGTGTTGCACCATACTTCTGCTTGATCGGCACACTGCAGCAAAGTGTCCTTTCTTTTGGCACTTGTTACACGTCTTGCCATACGCTGGACATTCTTTTGGTCTGTGAAATCCTCCACAGAAGCTGCATGCTTTTCTTGCCATTCCCGAATTCGCCGGCGCTTGCTCTTTTGTCTCCGCGACAGTCTTCTTTCTCGGTAGCTGCTTTGTCTTCTTCGTGACGGCGTCGACAGTCCTCGTTTCTTTGTTTGCTACTCGACTGCTCGACTATCTCCCTCACAGCTGTGAGGGAGATAGTCGAGGCAGATGAGATTAAGAAGGTTGGTGCAGCATGTGTCAGCGAGGCCTCAATTGATTTACTGGACAAGGAGCGTGCGTTCCTCAATGACGCGGCCTGGCACCGGGTTGGCTAGTGGTGGAGCAAAATCAGAAACTCGGATGGTATAAAAGTGTCGTTTCATGTAATAAAATCAGTTGTTAGTAGCGTACTGTGCTGTCTGTTTCTCGCCTCTTTGTCCCTGTTTTTTGAGCGCTAAAATGTATTCCAGAAAACGATGTTTATTGATTCGATTAGAGAGCGGATTACATGATGCTACGCTGGCTACGCCATGGCTGGATCTCTGCGTCTGTGGCTTTAGCTCGGCTTGGCTTTCTCGACAGTGTCTTTTGCTTGGCTTGGCTTCCTTGACACCCTGAGCATTGTGTACAAAAGTAGTAGAGTACTTACTTGTTGAAGTCAAAGACGTTGCAGACGAATACTCGCAGCCTCTTATCAGCAGTCTGTGAAACAAAGGAGAATATGTACGTAAATTATATTCAGCAGAGATAAACCTGAGATTCGCTGAGAATTTCTCCACGCTCATTGCAAATATAGATTGGCCGCATTTGTTTTTTTGTGTGGTTTTCTTGAGTCGATGAGCGCGCTTTGAGACATCTCGTGTGAATCGATGGCACACCATCAGGAAAATAATACGTTCCAACATTCATCACCGACCTAACTCTTCATTTGGATATCGCGCCAACATGTTCCAGGATCTCATAGAATGATCTAGAACCTTCTGCCACAATCAAGTCACAATTCGAGTTCCAATTGGACATTGCTGAAAACCTCCCCTAAATAAAACGCGAGGCAGTGTTTTGTTCTTCTGTGGCAAAACTGCTCGCCCAAGAGCGCTTCAATAGTTGTATATACGTTCCTATAAGAGAAACGGCCACCACCGCAGTATAGATTGGTTTCACAAAATACATTCTCAGATCCGGTAAGCCGCGCTCCGACATGTTGATAAACATCATCCGCCACTTTCCCCATTTGGTGGCATGTAGCCGATACACTATTGGCGCCGTACTTGGTGTTGGTAAAACGCACAAGCACGGCGTGTGCATCTGTCGACGATATAACTCGTGTAAGTATAAACGGGGATGTATTAGGTAAGCAAAAATCTTGTTACTCGGGTTTTGGGATTGCCTTAAAGACGACGATCGCCTTTCGACGCCGCTGGCGGGCCGACTTTCGAAAGCGGGCTCGTCTTAAGTCAGAATAACGACCAGTACGTATAAAAGGTTAGTACGAGCCGATGTTAGTTTAAGGTTTTAACTCGAGTGATACGAAAAAAATACTGCCTCAGCGCACAGAAAGACAAGTTCTGCAATATGGCACCCGGCGAGATTTTGAGCGGGAAACACGTCAAGTGAAAGTTGAAACCGACCTATAGTAGAGACCTGCCCACAATGCCTGTGTCACTGGTTGGCTTAATTTCGACACAATCTCAACGACAGTGGAGTTGGTAGCAATATGAAGGGCATTGGATATGCTGCTCGCAAAACAACAAAGAAAGGAGGCAGTGATATATAGGCACCCTGCGACCGCTAGGAGCCGCTACCGATCGCCCAGCGAACAGCGCCGCAATCGGCCACTTTTGAGTCAGCGTAGGGAGAGGGGTAGAGCCCGCCGCACCCGCGCTTCCCCCAACGTTGTAACCCAAGCAGTAGTGATGGGCCGAACTTTTGCCGAAGCGGAAAATCGGCGCGGACTCTTAGGATTCGGCAAAGTCGAATTTTTTCCTAACTTTTTTAAAGGTTCTGTAAAGATATTTGGCAGAAATACATTGTCGCCAGACCTAAAAGTTAATATTTTGTTAAAAAAAAAGTTTTTTTAATGGATATTGAGAGTTGTTACTAAATAAGGTGATATTATACAAGATAATTGTATCCGTGGCACTTTGTGTGTTTTCTGGCAATTTTAAATTGACTTTCTGCAGAAATGGTGTGGCAACGAGGTTGGGTTAAAGTACCTAGATAAGAGCTTCCAGCAAGTAGCGACATTCTTTGAAGCGCCAACTGCGGGATGGTGTAGGTTTTAGGCAACGTTACTAAAACATTCAGTTGGGAAACTCGGCGTCGGAACCTGGGCCACTGGCATCCATAGAGACAGAGCTAAATACGGCAACAGCGCCACTCTTGATCATTTGCCTGTACTGTGGTCACCTTGAGCTTTTAGAAAGCATGTTTTTGCGTAAGAACAAACACAAAAGACTCTTTTTGTATGAAATTTATTGGAGTTTAGTACAAAATGAAGGGCGCGTGTTGTTTTTAAAATGTTTAGTTTGCAAGCTTTTGCGGCACAATTAATATTGTTTTTATACAACCTTGCCTCAGCGGTGCTTTCAGGTGCATTTTAACTTCGGTATTAAGACGCGGCGCCACCGCTGGGGAGACGGGGGCGGCACGGCCCTGTAACCTTTTTCGCTGTATCTGTTTCCGCGCCAAAATGGCCGATTAAAGCCAAAATAGAAGCAACGTGCAGTCCTCGAGTGGCCGCTGCGGGAGAAATGGCGGCGTTCTGTTCGTCATTAGCTCGGTCCTCGAGGACAGATCGGGGACACTTTTTCAGAGCAGGCTCTACGGCAGTTTCCCAACTGAAAGGTTTAGTAACGTTGGTTTTAGGCAACGTTACTAAAACACTCAGTTGCGAAACTGCCATAGAGACTTATCTGAAAAAGTGGCCCCGTTCTGTCCTCGAGAACCGAGCTAATGACGAACACAACGCCGCCATTTCATTCAACGGCAGTTTGAACGGCAGTCCTGCAACCTAAAGACTTTAAAAACATCACGCGCCCATCATTTGGTACTAAACTCTAATAAATTTCATACAAAAAGAGTCTTTTTCCGTTTGTTTTTACGCAAAAACATGCTTTCTGAAAGCTCAAGGTGACCACAGTACAGGCAAATGATCAAGAGTGGCGCTGTTGTCGTATTTAGCTTGGTCTCGGTGGACGCCAGCGGCCCAAGTTTCAACGGTGAGTTTCCCAACTGAGTGTTCTAGTAACGTTGGTTTTAGGAAAGGGATTGCGGTGCAAAGCAGAAGACTGAACTAAGTGACGCCATTTTGTTCCAGTGGAATGAGCTTTGTCATCTGTATCGGTTGTCGTCACTTGTAAAGAGCAGTATCAAGGGACTTTAGGTTGGGTGGTAGCGGAGTAGCAGGCGCAGTTGCGATACGCGAGTTTCGGTTTTGACGCCTCATCAGCGCAAGCCTGCAAGTGCGTATTGTGGAGGCGGTAAGACTATGTTCCAACTTTCGCTGCGAGTCACCATTTCGTGCACGAAAACGAAAGCAACGGCTGCTGAGCCCTCACGAGAAGCGATAACAGTGTTATTGTAAATATAATTTTTTTTCTCATTTTTTTGTTTTGTTTTTGTTTTTGAAAAAGAGTCACTTTAGTTTTGCATGCATGTGTGCGTCTGATATTCACAACGTCTCATTTTTAACTTTTAAAGTTACGGTTTCTGAGGTTAGGACACACACGGCATTGAGGAGTTAAAAACGTCGGATGTGCAACGTCGAGCATGATAGTTCTGTGTTTAGCTGAGCCGAGAACATATTGCTTTAATTGCGATGAGTACTTTAATGTAGTGGCCAGTCAATGTTTCAACTACATCGCACAACAGTGGAAATATCAAATGAAAATCACGTTACGCCGGATGTACAGCATCATTTCTCACTTTCGCAGTAGACTGCGTCAACTCCTGGTCGATATTCTGTTCTTGAGGAAGAACATATTGACTAAAACTACACTCACGAAGGCTGACAAGCTCAGTTACTATATACTCCGCACCTCGACGTAACCTCTGGTAGTACTACACTGTACAGGGTGTCACAAAAGAAAATTTACACGGTCTTTTTAACCACAAAATTAAACTAGGCATCGCCGAACGCTAATTCTCCGCCCAAAGGTAGAGCTAGAGGTCACAACCAGATGCCAAAGTTTCAGCCCGGTCCGATAACTTAATCAAAAGTTATAAGTGATTTTCTGAAAATTTCAATGGGAAAATGGCGGCCGACGGACTTTTCAAACACACGGGGCTCTATGGCACTAGAAACCGAAAACGGGCAAAAATGGGCTCCATTTTCCCATTGAAATTTTCAGAAAATCACTTATAACTTTTGATTGAGTTATCGGATCGGGCTGAAACTTTGGCATCTGGTTGTGACCTCTAGCTCTACCTTTGGGCGGAGAATTAGCGTTCGGCGATGCCTAGTTTATTTTTGCGGTAAAAAAGACAGTGTAAATTTTCTTTTGTGACACCCTGTACAATGGTCACCGCACGACCGCACAGTGTCCATTTGCAATTCATGGCCCCGCGGCCACGTCGCGTTCTCACGCGAGCGCAGGCGTTTACCGAATTTTCGCCGATTCTTTGCCGAACTTTCCTTCAAACACTGCAGTCGAGCTGCGACTGCCGAGGTCGCTTCCCAATAAATACGCGCGACGCCGCGGCGAGAGGCGCGCGTATCGGCACTGAGTTCGATCTACAGGGTGCCTATTGACCGGCTCCAGGGTGAGGAACACCGAAAAAATACAAAGAATGAGACGACGTACAATTATTTTCACTGTTATTTTCCTGTGTGGCCTTAGATATCCTTATTGCCATTTTTCCTGACCAACAACCAACGAACAAACAAACAGCAGAGAAGCGATGAACCTTCTACGAGAAGCGTTCTGCGGATCTGCGAGCATTCCTTCCATCTTAAGCCAAAGACTGACACGCGCTTCGGCGGAATTCGATGGGGCAGGCAATATAGCTCCCGCGAAGCGAGCTATTTGGGTCGGTGCTTCACTGGGAAATGTCATGTTAAGTAAGCCCGTCACGTTGTTAAAAGCTTTTCGAGGACTCCGCGCTGGAAGTTACAAAACGACTTATTACATATGGCGGTGACCGGAAACTCGAATGCTTGCTGATAACATAATGCAGTTGCGTCGTCTCCTATTATTCAGAATTTTATATAGAAGAGCACCTTGTTACCAAACCCTTCGTCGTTATTACCGTTATGGCCATCATCATTATTATCATGACTTCCTTACCTAACGCCAAAAATGTGGGTGCCTATGCGAGATCGCGCACTCGTCTTTGCTCCTTCAAAAAGCTCTAGACTTATGTCTTTATATTCAAAATGCAAACTCGCCAGCCCCTTTCGCACCTCGTACGTTTGGTTCTCCCTCAAATTCGCCCACGTACTGCTCTTGTTTCACCCCGACCTCAGCCAATGACGGGGCGAGCTTGGCTGCCTCCTCAACGCGCATTCCCCACCGCAACTCTACGTTGCTCTCAGATCGGCGTGCCCCTCTGCGTTTCTATGCGTCGAAGACGAATTTTAGAGCACCTGCTCGCCGTACAAGGTGTACACACACACTTATGATCAAAAGTATACAGTAAATATGTGTCGAAATTCATCTTCCCTTTCAAAAGTTTTTTCATTCACCGATATAACCGTACAAGAAGGAAAACCACGCTTATTTGATCGTGGCTGCCATGGCGTGCCTGGGAAAGAACTGCGTTACTAAATTGTGCAGACGGTTAAAAACTCTACCTGAAAAGTCTTGCACTTGAGTAGAGGACACTCGGCTTCGTCGAAAGGGAGGTTGTTGTCGACGAAAAAGCCTCGGGCAACCTCTTCTATGTACTCCACGCCGACGACGCGATGGCCCTTGTCGTAGAACCTGATCACGACACTCGACACATTAAATTCAAGTATCATTTCTTTTTTTTCTTTTTTCCCGAAGTTTTAGATGCCTACCATTTCAATCAAAGTCATATAGTGTGCAGCCACATCAGCGCAGATTTTTTTGTTTTTGTAACAAGAATAAGACAGGTCATGACGACATCCTGCGCATATTTACCGCCTATTTAGTTGTCACGTCAGAAGAACTGCAGGGGAAGCTCCGCTCCGTAAATTGTAAAAAGAAATGTTGACAGAACGCACTATTCTTCCGACGTCGTGAAAAAGTCTAGCATTCGTCAGCACCTTATTTCAACATTACCACTAGGATAAGCAAAAAAAAAAAAAACAGAAAACACTGCCTAATGCTTACTGCCTTGGCCAGTGTTACTTAATGCCATTGTGAGAAATACTGACAAATGCCAGTGTGACCGTGGCTAAAGCCGTGGTCATACACATATACATCATACAAAAGGGCAGTCCCAAGCCATATCTGAGGCACGTTTCTGTCTCGTGTTGCAGTTCTGTCCCATTAGTCATACAGAAGCTGTCTTTAGACATAAGCACACATATGACTGAGGCAAACATGCTTCGCACATATGCTCGAGACGTGAGCGAAGATAATTCTGTCATCCGCGGTCAACACCGTATCATTTGTATAATGCATGAGAAGTATTACTGCTGTTTAAGTTGCCGCAGTTTTTCTTTGTGCCCTGGTTATGTACATTATCTCTCCAAGGCAATGTCCTCGACTGAAAGAGAAAATGTGACGATAAGCGCCCTGACCATTTCAAATCGGGCGCCTTTCCACACATCGGAAGGTAGACCTGGGCGTCCTGTTTTCCCGCCAGAATGACGTCCTGGTTCTTTTCGAGGAGCCTGCGTGAATGGACAGACGACGAATGCCACGAGGCTGTATTGGAGGACATGCGTACAAGCGTTTATGCATGCCAGCGAGCAAGTGTGTACAGTTTCGTGGCCCTGTAAAACTTCCTTAAATGGGCCATTAAATGTAGAGTGCCTTCATACAAACACGCGCTTTTCGTTGAGTGGTGACATCTCATCCATTTGTCCTCCCGATCGTTTGTTTCTGTTTTTACGTATTTTGAAGTGCGCTCAAACTGGTGTCACTCGGCTCGAGCACGTAGCCCTGGCCAATGCCCATACTCAATCTCATAAATGTCTGCAGCAAAGACAAATGCATAGGCGCGTGTCATAGCTCAGCCGTATGATTATGTTTTCACAATGACTCGCGCATAAGAAGCTACGCGCTGGTGGCCATTCATTTGGCTTCACTGCAGATGTTTAGGCGCAGTCTACTAGAATACGGGGGATAGTGCTTGGACAGGCCTTGCTCGGCAATAGGAGCCCGTGAGGCAGTTCGTGTAGACAACAATCGTGGCACTGCAGTCGACAGGGTAGCAGAAATCGCTGAAGCCCACACGTGCCGCTGCACGTGCACGTGCGCACGGCGCGCGCACCCGAAGTCCACGCTGCTGGTGTCGAGACATGTCGCGCCGGCGTGGAGACCTGTCGCGATCTACACCACGCACCTGACGCGAGTCGCTCCGGTCCCGACCATTGTCCCAACGCTACCCGGTATTTTAGTATATTGCAGCTTGGAAGATGGAGTATCAAGGAGGTCCTTGTGGACCACAGACGCCATTTTACCGCACAAGTCACCCACTGAGCGCGTCAGCGCGTCACCTGCTAGCCCACTCAATGCAGAAAATGGGTGTCTTCACCCTGAGACAGAAAGACATGTTGGCCCTCTAATGAAATGGTTTGTCAACTTCTTCCTTCTCAGCTTTAATCCAATAGACCGATCTCACTAAGCATTCGGCGCATGCGTGACGCCGCCATAACTTAAGTTCACTGGAGGCAGACGGCAGTGCACAAGAGGACTTCTGCTGTCTCCTGCTCTACAGGCGCAGAGCTCCAGCGAGGTTGCCGCACGTGCAGAAAGCCTAGGTTGCCTCGATGCATAGCAGCGAGGTTGCCTCGATGCATAGCGGCAGCGGTGAGATCGGTGGCTGGTGAGATCGGTCTATTCAAAAGCGAAATGATAAATCACGTGGTCATGACGTACTTGGGCACCGGATCCGATGACTCCAAGCTTACACCGTGCTTTTTTTAAGCACACCATGGAATTTGACATTCGCAAATGATGATAAATGGCGTCACTGCACTCATTAGCCACATGCCCGATTTAAAATATTCGTCGACGAATTGATTGTTGACGAGCGCATACGTCCAAGTGACGCAGTGCTTGAGTCCAAAACGTGAGCTGGGTTCGGCTGACGTGTTTGGGCATCGCCGATGCATCACGGTGAAAATGCGGAAAGCCTTCGAAGGGAAGAAGGAAGAGCGGTGATGGTGGGCGAGTTGGTTCATGTTGAAAAAATATATGAAACAGCGCGTAAAACAACGAGGAAGAGAGAGAGAAGAGCGCAGAACGAGCGGTGAACTGACAACCAAACGTTGACTGAAAAACACCCAACAAAGATGGTAGTGTAGGTTTGACTATTTGGTATGTTGTGAATGTGTATATTCTTTATATTTAAAAGTACTTTCAACAAAGGAGATATCTGCGTAGAAGGTGGTCGAGAGTGACTGTGTTGGTATACATAGGATGCTGGAAAAATAAACCAGTTAGCAAATGATGAAATGCGAATAATGCAAAGTTGCAAGCGAGCTGCAAAAGAATGACCCAAGTGATCCCTGGAGAAGAGGAGCAGGGGGGACAAAGGACAAACACGAATCTCCAAACACAGCTAGGCGACTGGTGTGCTACCGAAAAAATCCGCCTTCTGGTATCCAACCAGGGACTTCTCTATTTGTAGTGGAACGCCGTACCATCTGAGCAAACCAGGAGTTAGACGTCGGTAGAGCAAACGGCTTTTATCAGCTGCCACCAGTCTAACACCAACAGCGATGAACGGCCTGAATTTTAGGGTTATGATGAAATGCAATAATGCAAATTAGCACCCCTTGATCCCGTTCTTCAGGAATTATTTGCGTCAGTTAGCGAAATATGAGACGTTCCCTTCTGTGTTTGTTTCTTCGACTAAGTGTTTTTTTTTTTTTTATCTTCCAGCACCACAGTCTCAGGTCTTAACCGACATGATTAACTACCGCCAGCTAACCTGAGCACTTACAGTCTTTTCATTAAAAGTAAACTACCCACGGAGCACTTACAGTCTTTTCACTAAAAGTAAACTACCAAAGTGCCATTGTGTCAACACGTGTTCAAGTAGGTTATCTCATTTTGGTGCAAGTAAACATAAGTTTGGCTTACGCAGTTGTTTTTCCTTGCTTTTTATTTTATATGCCTGTAATAACTCTCCGAGAGTTTTATCAGCTCTCTCCAAATGACCGTGATGTTGTGGAAAAGTGATGGCATAAACAAGTGCCGCACTACAGGGGTAGATGACCCCCGCTGTTGCTCGAAGCGACCAACCATGCTCTCGCGCTCCAGTTTAATTCCCTACATTGTCTACATTGTCAAATATAGATCCTCTCACAACTCAGTGGAATCCTTATACACTATGCCTATCGCACATTCCACATGCTTTTTGTTTGTGTGTGTATCACAGCGGAATGGTTCCTACTCACCACTTTATCGGCCATTCTAGGGCAAAGTTATGTCGAATTTCGAGGCACCGGGAATGCGATGGGTACCTCGAACCGCCTTGCTACATTTCTTTTTAAGATATGAGAAATTTTCTGCTTGTATAGAATCACTTGTGGTTTTTTGGTTAGTCTCTCCCTTCTATAATAAGGGGTTCTTAGTTTTTTTTGTAGCAACGTTTCCGCCGCCACCTCCCGCAAGAGTGGCGAAACATACCTCGACGTTGCATGTCAGTCCACCTGCTGCTCGAAACTCCCCTTCATACAATGTGGGTAGGACTTGTCAAGGGAAATCCGTAGGCAGAAGGATGTTGTGCCCCTTTTCAGTCTTTCGGTGTGAGGAATCAAAGGGAAAAAGTCCCTTTTTCGTACGAAGATGATAGCTCCAACAATTGCGACTTTCTGTGACCGCTAGTTTCAGGTCTAAATATCTTATACAGTATTTATACCTAAATCTACGGTGCCACTCAGAATGTTTTGTCACCGCAAGATAAACGTTCCGACATCTAGACAGTTTGAAAGCACTGTTGCCTTCAAAGTTTTGTTGAATAGCTCGATCGCACCATACCTAAATATGCGGAATAAATACCGAAAGTGCGGGGGCTACACTAGTGCCTGTGCAAATTCTTTCTTTTTGCAGACAATAACCACCTTTAAAATGGACTAGCGTCGAATGCAAACATAGCTTCAACAGTTCAATGCGTCCTTCGACCGCCGCCCCTCCTGCGTGTTAAAACTGAATCACTCGATCCGTTTCTCTCGATACACTCACGCAATAAAAACATAAATAAAAACAATATCGAAAACGTTCGAAAACAGTCGGGGCTTCGTCTTCATAACATGGTGAACAATTAGCGCCGCTACGAATATTGAAGTACTTGACAACCAGAAACATAAGAAAAGAGAATTGTTGCAACTCTAATTTCTGTGTTCTTTTTTTCTTTCGCATTAACGTGTTACTTTTTTTAAATATACACTATTTTTCCAGAAGCCCAACAACTATGCCCTGTTTCATCATAATTAAGAGTGCATTAAAAATCGCTAAAACACAGACGCTTAAGAAGCAATTTCACGGCGTATTCACTCCATTTGGCTTATCCGATGATTGTACAAACACAAAAAAGAACGGAGAGTATGATCGTGAAATGTCGCCGCTGTTTGATTGGCTTCATCGGCCCGCAGCGTTGGCTGCCCTGATCTAAGGTCAAGAAAAGTCGAAATTCAGATCTTAGGTTAATACCAACAAAAGTCATCCAACAAACCCCAGCAAAAAAAAAAAAAAAAAAAGACACTTAAGATTGTCTACGTGTACGAAGGCGAAAGCATATCTACACGCGAAGCATTCCTACAAAAAGCGCGCCACAACTTTCTTTTGCACACGACGCTCCGGCAGTGAGATCACGCTCCCTCACTGCGCAGGCGCAGCGGCCCCGCCGGCTTCGCGGCTTCCGTGACAAAGCATCTACGTTGCTGCGCTTTTTTGTTTTTTGTGAATGCACAGAAGTAAAGTTCTAAACCACCAAAAATGAAGCAAAACGGCATGCACGGTGGGGTTGCACCTTAATGATAAATGACGGAAGCATGATTGGCCGCTTCGATCAACAGCCCCGGGGGGGGGGGGGGGGGGGGGGTTATGGTGCGCTGCAGCATTTGTTTATGTCATTCCCTTTTCGAGAACTTCACGGTTATTGGGAGAGGAGCTTATAAGACTGCTGGGGAGTTATTAGAGTCATGTGAAATAAATAAGCACGGAGAAAACAGCTAAACAACTGAGTATGCCAAATTTCTATTTGCATGCGTATAAAAAAAATAACCTACTTGCACACGTATTTATACGTCGGTAGTCTACTTTGCTGGGCGTTTTTGAAAAAATATTTAGTGTTCAGTTCAGAGCTCGTCCAGTGTACTTCTGTCCCGTCTTCACTTTTCGCGGGCTGTTTCACATATTGCTTAAAGATGCTAAGAAATAGCACGCTTTAGATTCAAATTTTCATACAAAAAAAACAACAACAACAGGTTTTTGGCTTTCTACCCTCGTGTACTGTACCTTTTTTTTTTTTTTATGCGCTACACGATATAATAAATCGCAATCTATCGAAGACCAAAATTAATTTCATGGTCCTCTTAACACGTGGTTTTATGGCCCTTTCAAGGATCATTGTAGTGCCACACTGTTCGAACGAACTCATGGTCTTGTTTTCTGTGCTCTTACGGATAGACTCCTTCAAGGTGCCACGGCGTGTCTCCGGTGTTCCAACGGTTGGTCCAGTACTCGAACTGCGGCATGTCAGACTTCCCTGCCGTTTTCACCATGCTGGATTCCAAGGATAAAAAACTGCAGAATAAAAACAGACGCTCGGGTTACATCTAGGTGAAAAAGTATTCAATTGGGTTATTTCATTACTCGAGAGGAAACGTAATCGCCGGATATTGGAAAAAGTAACCTGTACGTTTCCGATTACTTCGGATATTCAAAACGTCATTTTTTTCTGAACGTTTTAGGACAGCTATTTTGCACTGTCCATCATTGAATTAGAATCACCGGAGTACAAAATCAATCAAACATTTTTGGTAAACCATCCTACTGTTGGAGATTTGGTTCGATCATTCTTCGGTAGGAAACCTGTGGAAACAAAAAGCGCCATTTTCAAGGGGAGGAGACAGGTGAGAAGTTTCTTTGTGCGAACTTAAGGTTAAAAGATAAGCCAGAAAGGCTACGAAAGCGATCTTTTGGGAATTGAATCTAGGTCAGAGTAGCTCATATGCAAAAACAGTATCTATAGCTTCGTTGTTTAAAGAAAAGTTTGCAGTTGCTTGTGCCTCGCCAACGCAACTTCACACATCAAACCTTTCAAACCTTGAATTTTGATAATGGTGGATTCCTGTCAAATGCGAACCACTTACTTTTTGTTTGTGACAAAAAGAACGCGTTTCTTTGCCACACCTTAACTTTGACAATATTTGGTTCTGGTTATACTGGGGTACCTTAAGTGCCTTAGCCTAGTGTGCCTTAAAGGGATACTGAACCGAAATTTTAAGCTCACAAGACAAGGCTGGACGGATAGGCGTGACGCTAAAAAACCAAAAACATGACTCATACAGCGCTATCTCTACCGGATAGCCGTATTTTTGGAAAAGAGTTGCGCGATTGAACACGGCCGACGGTGCCGTCGAGACAAGTCACGTCACTCTTTTCATTCCCTTCCTCCTCGCAACGTCCCGTCGAGCCAATACCTTCTAGAAGTAAGGCTGTAGCGCTCCGACTGGTTACGTCACAATGTCGGAGAAGGAAGGCCATAGCAGAACTACGTAAAGAAATATGTAGTATCAACGTTAAAAAAATAAAAAAAAAGTTTCTTGTCGAGTAGCGTGGTGGTGTTCGTGCGCGTTCATCCGAGATTAATATACGTTTTAAAAACGCAGTCTTGTATAATTTATTTTATATATATATATATATATATATATATATATATATATATAATCATAATATACAACGTATCACCAACGTTTAAAGTACCAAATTTATGTTTATGCTCATCCCCATAACCGCAGGATTACGTGCAGTCGCGCAGCTCCCCAGCATTTTCGAATGAACCGGGTCGAGTGCGACATTTTCTTCGCTCATAGTGTCACAAAGGAACAGGCGAGGCAACAAAGAATAAATGGGGAAAACTGAAACGTTTAATGGAACGAACTTGTGACCAAAAATTAAAACGGAAACAGAGGATAACAGAAGAGCGTCGCGGGCGTCGAAGTTGGCGTAACAGCAGAATCGAACGCTGGGGTGAGACTGATCCCGCATTTGGCCTAGAACGTTCGAGGCGTAGAACATTCGTAACTCGGTGAGACGAGAAAGTTCTCGAACTTGCGAGAACGGCAAGTAGAAAGAATAAATAAAAGACACGTCGCTTCCAGGACTCGAACCCTGTCTCTTCTCGTGGGAGGCAAGCACGATAACCGTTAGGGCACGGCCGCGCTGTCTACTTGGCCAGCTGGGCACGCGGCATTGCTCCCCCTTTTAAAAAAGTGCATCGCACCGGTGCAACACAGGACAAAACAAAGAAAATAAAAAGAAACAGCAAACTAATGAGTCGTTTGGAACTCACAAGGTTCACAGTCCTATCGAGCGTAGTACGGCTTCAGGCGCACGACGTGGACGATTTAGGTCATGGTGGGCGACGTGATGAAGTCCGTGTTCCGTCGGGCATCACCTCGTAGTTCGGATTCCCAAGTCGACGAAGTACTTTGTAGGGTCCGAAGTAGCGCTTCGGGAGTTTTTCGCTAAGATTGCGTCGTCGTATCGCGGTCCAGAACCCCATATGGTCTCCGAGCTTGAAGCGAACGTCGATCTGCCGGACGCTGTACCGCGTAGCGTCGGTACGCTGTTGATCTTGAATCCGGAGTCGCGCGAGCTGGCGAACTTCTTCAGCTCGCTCAGCAACAATCTGGGCGTCTTGGCTCCCATCGTTAGCTGGTTCGTGGGCAGCATCGCGTCCAGCATGGTCATTACTTTTGGCCATGCATTAGCTGAAACGGTTTTACTCCTGTGGTCTCTTGCACCGCCATGTTGTAAGCAAACGTCACGAGGGGTAGCACTTTGTCCCACGTCTGGTGCCTACGTCGACATAAATGGAGATCATGTCGGCAATAGTTTTGTTAAGCCTTTCCGTAAGTCTATTTGTCTGCGGATGGTACGCAGTGGTTCGATGGTGGCTGGTGCTACGGACACAAAGGATTTCTTGCGTCAGCTGAGCCATGAACGATGATCCACAGTCTGTTATGAGAACTTCGGGAGCACCGTGCCAGAGGACGATGGACTCGATAAAAGAACTTGGCGACTTCCACAGCAGTTTCTGAAGAAAGGGCTTTCGTTTCAGCGTATCGCGTGAGATACGCTGAAACGTATCACACGCAATAGTTTCTCACGCGATAGAAACGTACCTCACGCGTCCCTGAAAGTTTTGGAGATTTTTGAAACGAAAGAAATGTTCGTTCTCGGACATGAAACTGTGCAATATCCTAACAAATAATAAGCAGTTAATTTCAAATGCTTTCGACGTATACTTCACGTCTATATTTACTGTGAAAACGGGAATAGTTCCAAGTTATGAGAGTTCTAGAATAGTGATTCCGGATATTAGCATTACTGAAGAGGGAGTTTCTGCGGCCCTTCTTAACCTTGACGTTAGGAAGAGCCACGGTCCCGACGACTTTCCGAATGTTTTTTTTTTGTTTAGATACGCTGAATAGTCGGCAAAGTTTTTTGTATTCGATTTATTGACATAGTTTCAATACGGGAGACGTGCCTGATGAATGGAAAAAGGCTAGGGTGATACCAATATTTAAATCGGGTGACAGTCAATGCGTCGAGAACTACAGGCCTGTTTCACTTTCGTGTACGGCCAGTAAAGTTCTTGAACACTTCGTACTCAAACATCTTATAACTAGGGCTCTGTGATTTCTTCGTCACTTAACCGGTACGATTGGAGAGGCCCATGGACTGCTCGAAGGTTGGATTATGCCGTCATTCAACATCTCTTGAACTTTTCCCTGGATTATCTCCCATTATTTTACGAAGACTGTACGGCGATCGATGCACAGGGCACGCGTCGTCCCCGGTAATGATGCGGTGCTTCGCAACGGTGGTTTGGCGCACCTTCGACGATGTCACAAAGCAGTCGGTGTATTCGGCGAGGAGGTTGATCACCTGCTGTCGTTTCAAGCCCGGAAGCTTAGGGTCGATGTCGAGTTGCGCTGGCGACGTACTGTCGTGCTCAGGTGGAGGGGACTCTTCAGTAATCGCGGCAATATCGGCGGAACTCTGGAGTTCCTCGATGTGGCCCATGGCGGTACCTTTCGTAAGGTGTTGAGGCTCTTGACGAAAGTTTGTAACGAGGACCATGGTACGCCCATCCTGAAGATTCGTTACCCCTCTTCCGACGCCGATTCCTCTTCCTAGAAGCAACTGGACGCCGCCCTCAAGCAGAGCTTCGACACAGGAAGCTTCATTGGTCACGACGGGTACAGAAACCGACTATGGTGGCGGTAGGTTTACATGATCGGCGATAACTCGGACCGCGGGTGACGTCGCTCTGGGTTCCTCTGGCGGTAGGGCAGGGTTTTGTAGCGTCAATTGGTTCGCTCCCAGGTCAATGATGGTGCCGTATTCGCACAAGAAGACCATACCGAAAATAACGTCCCTCGCACAGTCTTGTAGAACGACGAATTTCACAGGAAACGTCTCGCCGTGAATTTCGACACGAGCAGTGCACCTTCCAACAGGCGTGATGAGGTGTCCTCCAGCTGTTCGTATCTTTGGCCCATCACACGACGTCGTCACTTTTCGAAGGCGGCGAGAGAGCCTCCCACTCAAGACTGAGTAGTTTGCTCCGGTGTCCACGAGAGTCGATGAGTCGTGGCCGTCGATAACAACGTTCATGTTGTTGGGCACCGTTACAGGGGCGTCGTTGCAATACGGGTCGTCGGGTGAGTGCTCCGGCGTTCTTGGAGGCTCTTTGCTTCGGTCGTCTTCGGCAACGTCACCTCCAGGCGTTGTCGCACTTAGTTTTCCCGGCGACGCGGGGGAGACAGGCTCTCTCGACGAGGTCGTGGCGCTGGGGACGCTGAACGTCCTGGCGATGGGAGCGGGCTTCACGGCAAAGAGATTGCGCTGAGGAGGGCGAGTGTCGGAGGTACTCTTTGATATCTCGAGGGCGTTCGCCGTACCTCGGGCGTGGGTCGTTCGGGTGAAAACCACGCAGCCTAAGTCGACGGTAGGGGCAGCCGCGGTAGATTTGGTCGGTTTCCCGGCAGTAGATAGCAGAGCGGGCGTCGGTCGGCCGTTCGTCACACGTCTGTCTTCCTCGGCGAGGGCCGTTCCGGGTGGACGTACTGGGCTTGTTTTTCCTGGCGCTAAGGACACCGCGGCATCGGAGGGTGTCGACAGGGTGGTACCGTGGCCTGGCGGTTAGCTTGCGGCGATCGTCGGGCCATGGCGGCGTAGCTCAAAGTCGGTTCCTCTGGCGTCGTCGTGTTGATCGGAACCTCAGGTTGGAAGGCTTGGTGAACTTCTCCTCGCACAACCTCAACGAGCGACAGTGAGGACGGGCGATCCGCAGCGGGGAGCATCTTGCAGAGTTCTTCCCGGACGACTTCGTGGACGATCTCCCGAAGGCTGTCACACCGCTGGTATTCGGGTCCAGTAGGAAAGCAGGGACAGTTGGAGCAGCAGGCGCTCCGGCGATCCGGTGGTAGTGGCTTTCTCGGACTGTCAGGGCGCGCTCGATATTGGTGGCTTCGGTTACAAAAACATT